GATACGGGCCAAGTTGTCGTGTTTCTTCGGCCCTCGAACCTGGAGTTTAAATGTAATAATAATCTACTGGCACTAACTTGGGGAATAACACGTTCAGTCGAGTCTCGGCTTCACGCCCGTGTACAAGGAAAAATGATGTGAACCCAGTAGATTCTTATTTTTCTGTGTTGTATGCGAACATGACAAATGTGAGGACCTTATCATAATATATCTGGTTGACATCCACCTATATAGATAACCTGCCTGCTATGATTTCATTTAACCACTTCGTGAGTATTTTCGTCTGGGAATGTGTTACGATATTTGTTAAAATCTTTCTTTCTCATTAGAAGAGTCAACGTCTCTCTTTCTACTCTATGGTACAGTACTTGTTCTTTAAAAACAGAGAACATTTAAAATATGTGTATTAATTATATTTATTAACATATAACATTAATTTTTATTATCTAATTTTAAAGAAAACAAATATTAGAATAGAGTAAAACGAATTCACTAAATTCTGCTATTGATGAATTAGATTAATGATGATCAAATGAAGGTAATCATGATAGTTATAATGATGATGAAAATAGAGATATTGATGAGACCGTTAATAATAATGCGGCTAACGATGATGATGTTAAAACATAATGATGATAAAATAAACTTTGGGTACAAATTTAATAGGATTTAGATCTGCATGTAGTTATATTGTAAAATAAACATTTCTCTAGAGTTCTGTATACAATGTTCGAAGTTAATACCAATTCCCCATATAGACAAGATACAAGGGAGTACAAAACACTCAATTACTGATTCTGAATAGGACAAACCAAGAGTCACAGCGCAAATAAAAGAGAAGAAGGTGCATTTGAATGGAAACAAATTAAAATAGACATCGCTATGTTACCCGACGCGTTGTAGAAATATCAATGATCTATTTTAAAATGTAAATGGAATTCTGTCAATTCCCCAGACCAATTATCTTTTGCTAACTATTACTCTCCCAATATGGTAACTATTCAACTATTTCAACAAACGTTAATCGTTATTTTATTCCCCTTGTGACGAACTTCTATCGGAATTGGCAGAATTCCCTTTAGCATCGAGAGAATTTAGTAGTTTCCATTGTATCATTGATTTTTTTTTTGCCGGGAATATATTTAATTTGAAGGAATATGTTAAGATATATATAGATTATGACATTATATGTATATATATATTCAATTAAAAAGGCATATATTGGATCAAAATATCATCTTTTTTACCAATATTTCAGTTGGCTGAACGCCAACCTTTATCAAGGTATTAAAAATATTGAAATATTGGTAAAATAAATGATATTTGGATTTTAATACCTTGATAAAGGTTGACATTCAGCCAACTGAAATATTGGTAAAATAAATGATATTTCGATCCAATATATGCCTTTTAATTGAAGATTTATTTATGGATTGCTCTATTTTCAATATCTCTATATATATAAAAGTCAATGTCTGTCTGTTTCGCGATAAACTCAAAAACTACTGAACCAATTGGTACCAAATTTTGCATGTCGCTTTTTATAAACCTGAGTAAAATTTTCGGCTACATTTTGATTAGTATTTTTGGCTATTTCTTTTTTTCATTTGAATAACCTTTTTTACGCGGAGTAATCCGGAATGGAATGAATACCCAAATATGGCCATTTTTTATAAGCATCGGTGGTTCAGTGGTAGAATGCTCGCCTGCCACGCGGGCGGCCCGGGTTCGATTCCGGGCCGATGCATTTTTTTTACAATTTTTAAAACTCATTTATATTATATACTAGCGGATGTACCCGGCTTCGCCCGGGGTTTTACCCGAGTAAAGGCTCGTCTAACGAACATTTGTTAAAACAATTCTCTATAAACTTATAAAAAAATAATAGATATATTTTGATAATTTGAAACTCGTAAATTTGAATCTCTCGATAAAGTGAACATTTTTTCCCGGTCCCTGTGTGCCGTGTCATCCTGAATTTTGTCTTTCCTAATTTTCTACATTACAAAATCATCGTTTTATCTAGTGAACATTTTTTCCCGGTTCCTTGAAAAATACTCGATAAGTTGAATAAAATCAACATTAATTGGTTCCCTCGGTAATTGGAAGTTAAAGGAATAGTATCTTCGCCTTGGAATTGTATCATTATGCTTGTCTCAAATAAATTGCCGTGTCATCCTGAGATAATCTTACTTTTGATAAATAATCTTTAAGATAATAAACTTAGTGATAATAAAACTTATAGATAAAAAACTTGTCATCATCGTCGCAATGGTGGCGCTGCTTGCGGGTTAAATCTACAAATCTGCAAATAACTCTAAGGAAATTCAAGATATTCAAGAAATTATTTTTCAAAAACCTTCCCGGGAATATACCTAATAATATGCCAAAATTTCACGGCGATTGGATGTATGGTTTTTGAATCTATAGAGTACAGACAGACAGACATTCAATTTTTTATATATATAGATAATATAAATATATATTACTAGCGGACGTACCCGGCTTCGCCCGAGGTTTTACCCGGGTAAAGGTTTGTCTAGCGAACATTTGGTAAAACAATTCTCTAAAAATTTATTTAAAAAAAAGATATATTTTGATAATTTGAAACTCGTAAATTTGAATCTCTCGATAAAGTGAACATTTTTTCCCGGTCCCTGTGTGCAGTGTCATCCTGAATTTTGTCTTTCCTAATTTTCTACATTAGAAAATCATAGTTTTATCTAGTGAAAATTTTTTCCCGTGTCACATTGCCGTGTCATCCTGAGATAATCTTACTTTTGATAAATAATATTTAAGAAAACAAACTTAGTGATAAGAAAACTTGTTATCATCGTCACAATGGGGGCGCTGCTTGCGAGTTAAATCTACAAATCTGCAAATACCTCTAAGGATATTCAAGATATTCATGAAATTATTTTTCAAAAACCTTCCCGGTGATATACCTAATAATATCCCGAAATTTCACGGCGATTGGATGTATGGTTTTTGAATCTATAGAGTACAGACAGATAGACAGACATTCAATTTTATATATATAGATAGACTAGCCGAATCACCCGGGCAACGCCCGGGTTTTACCCGATTAAATATTTTTATTCAAATACTATTCGTTACAATTATAAATTGGCGCCGTGGATGTCACTCTTGTGAAACGTCCCGCTCCAAACTTTGTGTCTGAGAAGCGATATTTTTATAGAAAGATGATTTGGCTTTTGTTTTCTGCTCGAATTAATGTTTTTCTGTTAGAATTTTGTTCCTGCGTACAAAATAATGAACTGGTTTCACCCGTGGTCTCTGCCTTTTGGAATATTTTTCCCGATATAATTTTGTAACTGATAATCAAACATGATACAGCAATATCGTCATCATCATTTTCTGACTAAAAATATATCTACTTATATATTTGCCTTATTCTGTCTGTTTGTCTGTTTGTCTGAAGCTCACGGATGGGATTTTTCATAACCATCGGTGGTTCAGTGGTAGAATGCTCGCCTGCCACGCGGGCGGCCCGGGTTCGATTCCCGGCCGATGCATTTTTTTTTTACAATTTTTAAAACTCATTTATATATTATACAAGAATGACATCCACGGCGCCAATTTATAATTGTAACGAATAGTATTTGAATAAAAGCATTTAATCGGGTAAAACCCGGGCGTTGCCCGGGTCATTCGTATATGATATAAAAAGCCAACAATGAAGAGTGAATGTAATATAAAAAGCCAACAATGAAGAATGAATGTAAGATAAAAAGCCAACAATGAAGAGTGAATGTAATATAAAAAGCCAACAATGAAGAATGAATGTAAGATAAAAAGCCAACAATGAAGAGTGAATGTAAGATAAAAAGCCAACAATGAATAGTAAATGTAATATAAAAAGCCAACAATGAAGAATGAATGTAAGATAAAAAGCCAACAATGAAGAGTAAATCTACTTATATATTTGCCTTATTCTGTCTGTTTGTCTGTTTGAAGCTCACGGATGGGATTTTTCATAACCATCGGTGGTTCAGTGGTAGAATGCTCGCCTGCCACGCGGGCGGCCCGGGTTCGATTCCCGGCCGATGCATTTTTTTTTTTTACAATTTTTAAAACTCATTTATATATTATACAATAATGACATCCACGGCGCCAATTTATAATTGTAACGAATAGTATTTGAATAAAAGCATTTAATCGGGTAAAACCCGGGCGTTGCCCCGGTCATTCGTATATAATAATTGTATAAACGAATGCAAGACAAAATCACCGCGAATGTTTCTTTTTTTAAGGCAATTTCTTTTTAAGGCAATTATCGTTATTTATCGTTAATTTTTGTTTCGATTTTATTGAAAAAAAAACGATATGGTGCCTTTAAAAAATGATCTTTATTACTATGCAGTTTTCTATTTAGTCAATATACCTAAGTTCATGTTGCAAATGTAATTATCTCTATCGATTTAGTAGGTGAAATGCAAAAAAAAAAAAAATCGACATGATGAAATCTTTATGAAAATTCACATTTTTATTTTTATATTTTCAAGACACACACAGTTTGGGGCGGGACGTTTCACAAGAGAGACATCCACGGCGCCAATTTATAATTGTAACGAATAGTATTTTAATTAAAACATTTTAAAAACACACAGTTTGGAACGGGACGTTTCACAAGAGTGACATCCATGGCGCCAATTTATAATTGTAACGAATAGTATTTGAATTAAAACGTTTTTAAAATATATACGCACTCGGGTAAAACCCGGGCGTTGCCCGGGCCATTCGTCTAGTAGTTTTAATAATTGATTTATATATATTTTTAAATAGCCTATCGTCTTCCCCGTATTTTTTACCTATGTATGGAAATTTTGGTTTGAATTAGTGAACTACTGCGAATTTGTATACCGGACATACAAACTAACAAACAAACAAACAGACAAACATACAAACATTCATTTATATATATATATATATAGAGATAATATAAATGAGTTATAAAAATTGTAAAAAAAAAAAAAAAATGCATCGACCGGGATCGAACCCGTATTTTAATAGTATAGCCCGCGTGGCAGGCGAGCATTCTACCACTGAATCACCGATGCTTTAAAAAATGGACTTATTTAGGTATTCATTCCATTCCGGATTAGTCCGCGTAAAAAAAAGTTCTTCAAATGAAAAAAAAGAAATAGACAAAAATACTAATCAAAATGCAGCCGAAAATCTTCCTCAGGTTTATAAAAAGCGACATGCAAAATTTGGTACCAATTGGTTCAGTAGTTTTTGAGTTTATCGCGAAACAGACAGACAGACATTGACTTTTATATATATAGAGATTATATCAACTATATTAATTAAATCAAATACCTAAACACTAATATAATACAATTTTTGCCATCACACACACTTTTTTACTGTAGTTTATGTGTTACTTCTGTATTGCTATTCTATGGAACTTCTCATATTCATTATTGATGTACTTTCAGTATGAAGGAAATTGCAATCGGGAGAATTCTTGGGCGAAGCCGGGTCATACGTCTAGTAGAATTTATAAATTTAATCCTATATTAGTGATTCAAAAAAAGATATGTTAACTGCGCATATTTACAACAAAACTGAAAGTCATTCTAAAAACGATTATAACAAAAGTAGAATTATCAATTAATAAAAATAAAATATATATGTTTTAAAATATAGAAATATTTGATTTTAGATTATATATACATTTAATGCTCATTATGATGCATTAGCGCGCCATCTGTTTTAAAAATTTGAAACTATTATAGACGTGTATGATTCTTTTGTTTCCAGTTTGAACATAGTACTCTCTACTAATTCGTATCAGCTTTTATATATATGATAGAGAGGGAGGCGTATCAGATGTCAGTATTTGACGCTGATTCTTTGACAAAATACAAGATAATTAAACAAAAAATAAGAAAATATCAAATATGCGGAATAAACTCTGAGAGAAATATTACAAAAACAATAACAAGACTCAGAACGAAACACTATAAAGGAATGACAATACATCCAGATGGCACAAGAACCTATAGGACATGCCTGTCCTGGTCTGGAACTAACACCTACCCACATATTCTCATTTCAGCATTGGCCGCAGCCTTGCAGAAAATTGACATGGACCCAGAGCAGCAGCTTTACACACCCAAGATAGTGGATATTACTGCTGCTGTGATAGAGATGCATGGAGACATCTGAGGCTCTTCATTGGACACGACAACAAGGACAACAGAGAGTCGTATATGAAGAATCTTTATCTATGTACGAATATAATTTTATCCAAAATTAATAACAATTAATATTTTTGGCAATGTGTTTCTTTTTAATAAAAGTATCAAATATTATCTCTACAGATATTACTGTAATGCTTATAGTTATTGAATAAGACCCATCCGTGGTGAACTCTTTCAGCAGTTTCGCCAAATCAATACCATATTAACCATTGCGATAAGGTTTATAGAGATAATAGTTGATTAACTACATGTATAAGGCACATTGTATAAGGCACAATAATCACTACATCAACTTAGTGGAAATTTTGTAGGCTAATGGAATCTGGAAGAAAATACATATTATCGGATATTTAGGAGAAATTGGCATATTATTTTCAGAAAATATTAAGAATAACTCAACACAAAGCAATAACGCGCCATCTATACATATAAAATGAAAGGATTTAAAAGAACGAATGTTTCTTTTATACATAATACAAACGTCTACTGTCCTTACTGCGATGAAACTGATGAGCCAAGCCCTCCCAATATATTTTTTTCATCGCAGTAAGGACAGTATAAGTTTGTATTATGTATAAAAGAAACATTCGTGCTTTTAAATCCTTTCATTTTATATGAATAACTTAAATAATAACGTTAAAAAGTTTCAAAATTTTGACATATATCAGAATTTCAAACACTCCTCTTTTGAATAGTGTCACAGTGTGAATGCATGGAATACAAGTTGGACTTTTCCCAAATTTATCAGATTCAGTAGTGTGGATTATTTATTAATATTTTATTCTGCCCTCATATATAGTCAATAAAATTTATGGTTTTTCATCTGTGAACTGGCGAATCCTGTATAGGGCGAGAGGCCCTAAATAAAGGCTTTGTTGTTGTTATTGTTGGTTTTTCATACGCAAATTTGAAAGAGAAAGATTTTTCTATTATGAAAGTGAAAAAAGAAATTGCTCATAAAGATTAAAAAATATACAAAATAAGTTGACCAAAAATAAAACATATTAAAATAATCATTTCCATTATATATTCATTTATTTCAACACACAAAACGCGATATCCCGGTTAGGAATAATTGCGTTGATATACATATTTTTAAAATAGAAACAGTTATAAACATATTATACAAGAAAAGATAATCAAAAAGAAAAAAGAGAAACAATAATATATATTTAGGAACCTGAACCTTTCAGGTTAGAAAGATAAACTTAAATATATTTACATAATAGTTAAATCTATGACAATTATTTCTGCTATTTACAAATTGATATAGATCTACAACATTATATATGATAAAAAAAACTAAGAGAGAGAGAGTTTTTCATATATCTATATATTTAACAAGATTCATATATAAATTGGCATATAAAATAAATTGAACGATCCTAACCAAAGTTATAAAAATATATAAAATAAAGGAAAGACTCATCAACAAAACACTTTTCTAATCTTTAAGATAAGTTGAGGAGAATCTCAAAACTTTAGTGAGGATGAACAAAAGATTTCACTGAGAAAGAGATGAAACAAAGAGAAAACCATTCCAAAAACTGATACTGGTTGAGAAAACAAAGCCTGGGGGAGTGGAAAAAGTCGAAATGAAAACAAAATACGAAGTGGGGGGATGGGTGTTAGATAATGGCGCGGTTATGTTTAGTTAATGTAGCGTTAATGATGGATTAGTTAGTTTATTGGGTCTCATTTACCTGATAAACCTCACGCTTGGTAACAACGGCTGTGAACCTTCTTCTTCTTCTTTACATTCTAAGTTTCAAAATATATTTATTAGGTACCGCTCAAATAGAGAACCCAAGATAATAATATTCACATAGGGGATGGTTATTTACTTTATTAGGTACCGCTCAAATAGAGAACCCAAGATAATAATATTCACATAGGGGATGGTTATTTACTTTATTAGGTACCGCTCAAATAGAGAACTCAAGATAATAATATTCACATAGGGGATGGTTATTTACTTTACTAGGTACCGCTCAAATAGAGAACCCAAGATAATAATATTCACATAGGGGATGGTTATTTACTTTATTAGGTACCGCTCAAATAGAGAACCCAAGATAATAATATTCACATAGGGGATGGTTATTTACTTTATTAGGTAACGCTCAAATAGAGAACCCAAGATAATCATATTCACATAGTGAATGGTTATTTACTTTATTAGGTACCGCTCAAATAGAGAACCCAAGATGATCATATTTTAAAATTACAAAATATTTTCTCATTATGAGTTTTTTTTTATTACAAAACGCTAGCTTTCAAGTGATAATCTCTCTTCAACGGGCTTAATAAAACATCGACTATATCTTACAAGAAATATTTACAAAAACACACAGCGTGGATATTTACAACTGAAATTTTAAATTTGTAAATAATTTAACAATTCAATGAAATAAAAAAAGAAACTCATTGTGAGAAATTATTTTGTAATTTTAAAACCTTTTTCACAATTCTATCATGAATAATCATATTTACCATAGGGGATGGTTATTTACTTTATTAAGTGCCCCTCAAATACAGCAATCTAGATATTTTTCGTAAAGATAGATGCTGCTTTGCCAGAATTCATAGTTCTTCATATTAAAGATACTTCGGCCAGTAAATCTTTTTTATTGTCTCAACGTTTTGACAAAAATCTTTTGTTCGCTCTTGACGAGGACAAAATATTTTTGTCGAAATGCCGAGACATTAAAAGCGATTTACTGGCCGAAGTATCTTTCATTTGATGAACTAGATCTTTATATTTACAATATGAGAATGTGGATCTACAAAGACACTAATATAAAATATAATTGTAAATGAACCCTTATATATAATCACACATCCCTCACACATTATGGTAAATCGTTCTGAAAATAGAGCAATCCATATTTAAGTCTTTAGATAATAAAAAAGCATATATTAGACCGAATTTTCGAAAAAAATATTCAACTCATTATATGCCTTTTTATTATCTGAGCACTCCCGTAACATATCTAACCGTGACTCCAAATCTCTCATATTTCAACACATACAGGACACAGGCCATACTTTCAACATCACACACCCTACAATACATTACAGATCCATCCGTAACCAACATCAGAGACTCATACTTGAATCCATAGAATCCTATAAGCAAGGCAGCATCAATAGAAAAATCGACCTCCCCGAAGCCTATCACGCTCTCCTGGCCTTCATGTAGTTCTCCCTATGGTTACCTATATCAGTTAAGTATCATATTTCAAAGAAATTCTTGTTTCCAATTATGTAATTAGCATCTTTGTTGAAAATTGAAATCTCTATATTGTTTCATTATGATGTAAATTTCTCATTTGCAATAGTTATGTAAATATCATAGGTGTATATATTCTTGTCTGCCATGTGTACCATGTTTGTATCGTCGCGATCATTGTATACTGCCCGTCGAAGGGTTTTCACCCGAAAGCTTGCGTTTAAAAATTGTTTAAGAAACTTGTCTTATTTTATTTTATAGATTAGAATATACCGTTCTAAGAAGAGTCTCTTATTTCTACTTAAATATGGATTTCTATATTTTGAGAACGATTTACAATAATGAGGGATGTATGGTTATATATAAGGGCACACATTTACAATTATATTTTATATTAATGTCTTTGTAGGTCCAGATTCTCAGGTCCTTGGGGATTTTGTTTTTGATGAGGTTTTTTCTGACTTTTTAAATATCTTCTTTGCATGCTCATTGTTTGAATAAATATTACTTTATTATTATAGGCAGAAAATTGAGTTCAAATGTATTTACCTTCTTGCAACAATGATTCGCGCTAGGTAAAACTGTAAACCAGGTAACAATATTGCAATTGTAGATTGTG